TTGGTCGCTGCCTATACAATCAATCAGTACTAGCAATCAGAAGAAACACTCAACTTGTGTTTGCGTTGGTTTTTTACCAACCCCCGTATCGTCTGCTGTAACGTGACGTTGCGGTGACAGATGTTTGCGGTTAGAAACAACTGTGAGAGTTTCTTCCGTGACAAGAAAGTTCCGTTTTTGGACCAATTTAACCGTAGCTACGTTTCACGAAGACGTTTGTTTTTGGTTGCGGCTGGTTGCCATTACAATGAATGCTGATGTCTAACCCCTACCTTCCAACCACCCCACGCCACCACAGCCCCCACCCTCACCAGCCCCACCTTACCTGCTCTAACCCCACCCACAACTTTGGCTTTCTTATCCCCACCCACACCTTTCTTATCTCCACCCTCATCTTTCTTATCCCCACCAACACCTTTCTTATCCCCACCCACACCTTTCTTATCTCCACCCTCATCTTTCTTATCCCCACCCACACCTTTCATATTCCCCACCTTATCCGGCCACCGTCCCGCACCTTCTTATCGCCCACCCGCAACCTTTCTTATCCGCCACCCCACGCTTTCTTATCCGCCACCCGTCACCTTTCATTTTATCCCCCACCCACACGCTTTCTTATCCCCACCACACCTTTCTTTCCGGCCACGCCACGCCTTTCTTATCCCCACGCGCGCACTTTCTTATCCTCGACCCACAACTTTGTTTATCCCAACCCTCACTCCAGTCCACCCCCTAACTCACTCACCCTACTCCCCACCCTAATCCGCACACCGCTCACCCCCTATCCCCCACCCTCACCGCCGTTCAACCGCCACCGCTCATCCGTCAACCCGCCTAACGCTGCAGCCCCACGGCCTATCCCGCACCACTTCACCCTCGACCGTTCCACCTGCTGCTGCCGTTGGCATATTAAGATTGAATTTATGCGCATTTATATATTTATTAAGGAATCGATTAGTCTTCGGCGGTGTTTTCTCTCGGAGAGGCCGGTTTAAACTCCGCTGGGGCTATGGGAGATAATTTTCCTCCTCCCCTCTCACCCCTGCGCTCATTCTTTCCCCTCTCTGCCTCATGCACATGTAAATTAGTTTGCGCGCGCTCCGCTAATTGCCATGTCGATCGCTCTAATAACATGAACTGTGCCCAAGCTGGCGGCGGGCGGGCGGCGCGGGCGCGGCGGCACACATGGCAGAGTAGGGCTTGATTGCCGCGCGAAGCGCTGCTGCGTAATGACACTGAGGCGAAGAGACTCGGGCATATATAGCAGTGTTTGTGAAGTCCCGTGTTGTCGAGCGGTAGCAGCGGTGGTCGCGCCCCTCCCTCCTCCTCCCGCGCCTTTATCGGGCGCTCCGATAAACGGGCGCAGTCGATTAGGCGGGCGTGCGTGTCCTTTGAAAAACAACCCTCACGCACGTGGCGTTTGTGTGTGCGCGAGTGTGCGTGCGTGCGTGGCGTACAACGTGCGTTGCGTGCGGCGTGCGTGCGTGCCGTGCGTGCGTGTCCAATCTTTTCCTCGCTATAGCGAGGACCGCCGAATATTAATCAAGCGAATTAATTGGAAGGACCTGCCCTTATTCTTACTTCTTGACTTATTGCTTCGGGTTTCTTCTCACCTAGTCTCGCAGCTGTTTCTCAGTCTCCTCTAAGTCCAGTTCGCCCCTACCCTTCTCATCTGTCGCCAGCTTCTCGTCTCCGCTTTTTAGGTCGCAGCCTGGCCGCTTCTATGCTATCCGCTCACTGCATCGCTCTAGTGCAGTTCGCCCCTACCCTTCTATCTATGTCCCTCACGTCTCGTCTAAGTTCAGTTTGCCCCTTACCCTTCATATCTATGCGCCTCACTCTCGTCTAGTCAGTTCCTTTACCCTTCTTCTCCTCTATCCCTACAGCTCTAAGTCTAGTCTAGTTCCACTAACCCTTCTCTCTCGTGTCTTCCCCATCTCTAGTCTCGGCGGATGAAGCGAGCTCATGCGACATGTCAGGACTGATTGAAAACAAGATTCAACACAGCGGTAATGAAACAAGTAGCTGAAAACAAGTGCTGAATAATTTATCTACTGCTTGTTATTTCTGTCGAGATTTTATTGTTTTAGCGGATTAGAAGACGTAACGCGGGAGATAGGAATGATGGAGATAAAGAGCGAGGGGGGTTGGGGAGCGAGATAGATGAGTGAGAGGGTGGAGGGAGAGACAGAGCGAGAGAGAGAGAGCAGAGGAGACGAGGAAGAGAGAGGAGAGAGAGAGAGAGAGAGAGAGAGCAGAGAGAGAGAGAGAGAGAGAAGAGGAGAGAGAGAGAGAGTAGAGAGAGAGAGAGAGAGAGAGAGAGAGAGAGAGAGAGAGAGAAGAGAGAGAGAGAGAGAGAGAGAGAGAGAGAGAGAGAGAGAGAGAGAGAGAGAGACGAGAGAGAGAGAAGAGAGAGAGAGAGAGACGAGAGGAGAGAGAGAGAGAGAGAAGAGAGAGAGAAAGAGAGAGGAGAGAAGAGAAGAGAGAGAGAGAGAGGAGAGAGAGAGAGAGAGAGAGAGGAGAGAGAGAGAGAGTAGAGAGAGAGAGAGCGAAGACAGAGAGGAGAGAGAGAGAGAGAGAGAGAGAGAGAGAGAGAGAGAGAGAGAGAGAGAGAGAGAATGAGAGAGATAAGAGAAGAGAGAGAGAGAGAGAGAGAGAGAGAAGAGAGAGAGAGAGGAGAGGAGGAGAAGAGAGAGAGAGGAGAGAGGAGAGAGAAGCACGAGAGAGAGAGAGAGAAGAGAGAGAGAGAGAGAGAGAGAGAGAGAAAGATAGAAAAGCGAGAGAAAGAGTAGGTAAGAAAGTGGAGAGAGAGAAGGAGAGAGAGAGGAGAGAAGAGTAGAAGAGAGAGAGAGAGAGAGAGAGAGAAGGAGAAGAGAAAAGAAGAGAGAGAAAGAAGAGAGAAGAGAGAGAGAGAGAGAGAGAGGAGAGAACAAGAAGGAATAAAAGAAGAAGAGAGAAGGATGAGAAAGGGAAGGAAGACGAGGAGAGAGGAGAGAAGAGAGAGGAGAGCGTATGAGAAGAGAGAGAGAGAGAGAGAGAGAGAGAGAGAGAGAGAGAGAATGAAGAGAGAGAGAGAGAGAGAGAGAGAGAGAGAGAGAGAGAGAGGAGAAGACGAGAGAGAGAGAGAAGAGAGAGAGAGAGAGAGAGAGAGAGAGAGCAAGAAGCCGTGAGATGATAACAGGGTTGATCGTGATCACTACGAAAGATGGAAACCTAGAGGACGAGTGAGACACGAGGGTTAAAAGCAGGTCGATGACAAGAAATCAGCTTTAGTATTTGCGTTAGCAACCCTGCACTACTAGCTATTCTAGTGAGACACGAGGGTTAAAAGCAGGTCTATGACAAGAAATCAGCTTTAGTATTTGCGTTAGCAACCCTGCACTACTAGCTATTCTAGTGAGACACGAGGGTTAAAAGGCATGGGGGTCTATTAGCAAGAATATCAGCTTTAAGTATTTGCGTTAGCACGCAGGCCTGCACTACTAGCTATTCTAGTGAGACACGAGGTTAAAAGCAGGTCTATGACAAGGAAGAAACGGCTTGTATTTGCGTTAGCACACTTCAATACAGTACTACAGAGTCATACACTTTCATACAGTACTAACTCTCCTAACTACTAATACACCGCATTGCTGCTACTAATATACCGACTGTGGGTACTGTCTACACTACTGTGTGGGTGTGTGGGTACTGTGGGGCCAGCGTGGAGCCGGGGGAAGCAGCGACTCCCGCCGGCACTTACTCATGCCCTCTAATGAAATTCTACATCGTGTCAGCACTGCAATGACATTACGGCGGTACAATGAAAAAGCACGGAGAGTGCGAATCGGTTTCTTCGTGCAATGCGACCTTCGGTTGGTGTGCTAGTTCGTGGCGCGTGGATGGAACGCTTGGCTTGTGTTGTGTGCGTGTGTGCGTGCGTAGTGTGCGTAACCCCCCGTGGCATACGTGGCGTGCGTGCGTCGGCGTGTGTGCGTGATGTTAAGATGTATGCATGATGTTAATATGTATGTATGTGTGTTGTGTGTGTGTGTGTGTGTGTGTGTGTGTGTGTGTAGTGTGTGTATGTGTGTGTGTGGTGTGTGTGTGTGTGTGTGTGTGGTGTGTTGTGTGTTCGTGTGGTGGTACGTGTGCCGTGTCCGTGTCCCGTGTCCGTGTGTCTGTGTCTGTGGTCTCGTGTGTCTGTGTCTGTGTTCTGGTGTCTGTGTGTGTGTGTGTGTTGGGTGGGTGGTCTGTGTCCTGTGTGTGTGTGTCTGTGTTGTGTGTGTGTGTGGTGTCTGGTGTGTCTGTGTCCTGTGTCTGTGTCCTGTGTCTGTGTGTGGATGTGTATGTATGTGTGTGTGTGTTTGTGTGTGTGTGTGTGTGTGTGTGTGTGTGTGTGTCTTTACTCTTTACGCTGTGTGTGTGTGTGTGTGTGTGTGTGTGTGTTGTGTGTGTGCGTGTGTGTGCGTGTGTGTGTGGTGTGGTGTGTATGTATGTATGTGTGTGTGTGTGTGTGTGTGTGTGTGTGTGTGTGTGTGTATGTGTGTGTGTGTGTGTGTGTATGCTAGACGGGGCGGTGAGAGGATTGTATCTTCATTGCGGAGTGTGTAAGATGGTGTAGAGATGGTTAGAAGGTGCGGCTGTGGAGAGAAAGATGGGAATATGTAGCAGGGATGGGAAAGATGGGAAGATGTAATAGGAATGGGAAAGATGGGAAGATGTAACAGGGATGTGAAAGATGGGAAGATGTAACAGGAATGGGAAAGATGGGAAGATGTAACAGGAATGGGAAAGATGGGAAGATGTAACAGGAATGGGAAAGATGGGAAGATGTAACAGGAATGGGAAAGATGGGAAGATGTAACAGGAATGGGAAAGATGGGAGGATGTAACAGGAATGGGAAAGATGGGAAGATGTAACAGGAATGGGAAATATGGGAAGATGTAACAGGAATGGGAAAGATGGGAAGATGTAACAGGAATGGGAAAGATGGGAAGATGTAACAGGAATGGGAAATATGGGAAGATGTAACAGGGATGGGAAAGCTAGGGACAGGTAACTGGAATGGGAAAGATGGGAAGAT